GAAGGTTGTTTCTGGTGATGATAGTAAGGACTGTAGATAATAAAAATCTGGGTTTCGTGGTTGTCCTTCTTGACCTTTACCACTGTTTTTTAACCCGGGTTGTAATATATGGTTAACTTGTTGACCCTAGTTTGGGTTTAGGGTGTTAGGGGTGTTGACACCTCATTTACGCATCCATTAATCCTGGGTTTGTCTCGGCTGAGTTGATAACTATTAGATTAAAAGTGAATTTTATTGAAATTAAAATTTATAATTAATTTAATAATTATATTGAATTATGTACTTAAATTAATTACTTTTCTATAACATTGTTCATTGATAAGATTTGTCAAAAAAAAATTATTTGAATCTAATTTGAGAATTTAATCTAAAAAATTAATTAATTATAATTGTTAAATTAAAAGTTGACTCCATTTAATATTAAAATTTACAATGAATCTATCCTCAACTATAAACCACCGAGTTCGATCGGGTATCACCTTTGTATGTGAGTGAAAATATAAAACAAAATAGTTGAGGTTGGATTAATAATCTAAAGATCATGTTAATAAAAAATCATTTTAATTGCACATTTTTTTATATTTATATTATAATTGTAACATTGTTTACTTACAAATTATGTATGTTGATTAAACCCAAATCAAAACAATTAAATTCAACAATTTTGTTATTCTATATGAACTCGATTTATATTTAGTTGAAAATTATGTGTGTTTTTTTTTGTTGGAAATGAAAGTTGAGTCATCTAAGTTGCATTTAGTAACTTATGTTTTTGTTTTCAATTTTTGTCAAAAACAAAAATAATTTTTTTTTTGTAATGTGCTTTAGTTTTTTTTTTTTTGTAACAACTCTGTTTTAAAAACAAAGTCAAAATTTGAAAACATAAAAAAATGTGTTTTCAAAAACACCAAAAACTCAAAAAATGCGCTTTTCTTGGGAGGGATTAATGAGGTCTCATCTTCGAATCCTATTAATAGCAATTCATATGTTCTTTTGGTTGGAACTATAAAAGCCCTATTCTCTCTCTCTCGTTTATCTCTCGCCCTTTCATCGACAACCATTGAGCACCAACCATCGACAACAACCAAAGCACTGACCATTCCCACTATTTTACTCTCTCTCTCTCTCTCTCTATCGTGTTTGGATATGAGGGCAAATCATTTTGGATCTAAGGATGGGGTTGGGTGATTGGTTTCGATAGTTGTTGGTGACAATAACAATCGAATACTCTCTCTCTCACTCATAGGAAATCGTTTGCATTAGAGGATAGGGTTGGTGGTGGGTTTTCGGTGGTTGTTGGTGGTAAGTTATGAAGTGGGGTTGGATGGTGGGTTTCGGTGGGATTGAGTAGTGGGTGGTGGGTTTCGGTGGTTATTGGTGGTGGGTGGTAGTGGATTTTGAGTGATTGTTGGTGGTTTTTGGGTGGTTGTTAGTGGTGGATTTTGGTGGGGTTAGGTGGGTTTACGTGGTATTGAGTGGTGGATTTTCGGTATAATATCAAACATATTTTTTATTTTTTGTTTTCACAAATTTTTTAAATATAAATGCCTACTAAATATATTTTATATTTTTAATTTTTATCACATAAAAAATAAAAATATTACTAAACGCACCCTTACAAAAAAAAAAGTTAGGTCTGCATCCAGAAGGGGGACCAACTCAATAGATGCATTCAGGGTGGGACTGTTCGTGCTGGTTTGATATAAGCCTGAGTGCATCCATTTAGTTTTTCACAAAAATCACATTCTTAAAGTTCTTTGCTTGAATGACTTCAAGCCTTTGGATCAAAAAAAAATGGCTTGCAGCCATTTGTATATAGCCCAGAGTTCTGCTTGGATACTGGATGAATCAATCAACTTTCCATAAAATCCAAATATATCCATGCGTTCCTTGGTCGTTCCTGATTAACCATCCCAATCCTTTTGAGCATCCATTCATGTTCATTTTAAACCATCCTCTAAAACGGGAAAGGACCACTTAAATGAGTCTGGGTGGTTTTATAAGACTTACCACTTGGGTCCCTAAAATACATTAGTAATTTTTTTAAACTCGGCTCGGCTCAGCTCGAATTCGACTCATGTTATAAATGAGTTGAGTTTGAATAATTGCTTAAGCATATTTAAAAAAATAAACTTAAAAGACTCAATTCGAGCTCGCAAAACTGCGTTTATATGTAAAATAGTCGAATTATTCGGGATCGAGCTCGCAAAACTCGACTCGTTTATATGCAAAATAGTTAAGTTATTTGAGTTCGGCTCAGGTTCGACCTAGACTCGGGTCATTTTCTAAACAAGGCTAATTTGGACAATTTTGTAGACTGGTCTAAAAAAACGAACTCGACAAATTCAAGTTCAAATTTGTAAAGTTGGACTTAATTTACATCCTACGGCCATGCATATTTTATCACAACTTTAGGGTTGTGTGTGGGTGTACTCCTTATACTCTTCTTGACCTTGTTCCTGTCTTTCCATATTTGCCGAATAGACGTAACGAGTGTTGGCCATTTCACTCCGAGACTCTTCTTCTCCTATCCTTGATTTCTTCACAAACGACTTCTACCCCTTTTCATGGTAAAACTGCAGGAGGACCTGCTTCAGGTCTGAAGCATTTACTGCACCCACCTTTCATATGTCAAAGTTGCCAGCACTGGAATGGCTGGACTCATTTATTACTCAACCTCACTGTTGTTTTGGGCACCACATTGCTCTCAGAGAGCAGAGGAGAAAATTTTCCATACTTACTGGTACACACACCTCTCATTTTTACTAGAGGTGACAACTCATATAACTTGGCATATCAAACCCGGATTTAAATTTGAATTAATATTTAAGAAAAAATATTAATTTAATAAAAAATATTTAAAATTTTAATGATGGTGAAATATGGTTATTAAAATTTTATCATCTGATAAAATTTAACTATTAGATATTTAAATAAAAATTTGAATCTCTTGCTTTATTTTACTAGTGAAATTTGTTTTAAACCTATTTTTACTCAAATTTTAAATTTGTGCTAAAATTTGAATACGAGTTGGAGATGTTTTCTTGATCAAAAAAAAAAAA